AACCATTCTTTTTGAGGCAATTCTGGCTCTGATTATTTTTATTTTTGGAAATGAAGTTTCCCATTTATTGTCTATGGTTGAAGACAAATTCTGTCATCTGTCCATACATGTAGATGCATACTGGTACAAGCCGCCTATGGAATCTTTATGTTAGCAAAGCCATGAGGCCATTGTACATGTAGGTTGTTTGTCAAGAAAGCAGTGATAACTGACAGATGTACATGTACTAAACATCTTTCACTTCCTCTTTTGTCAAAAAAGAGGAAATGTCCATTAGCAAGCAAACATGCTGCATTTTCCAAGAGTCTTTTTTTTTTGGAAGCAGGAATTCCAATGAATGTCTTAACACTTCAAAGCTTTAATGATTCAAGGTTCCAGTTACCTTATACTTCCTAGAATCAAGAATTTTTTCGCTTAAAAGGTTCCTTGCCAATCTTTGTTTGAATTCCCTCTAAATCTAATTGAATGATCCAATGCTTTCCCTATTTACAGTATACATAAATGGCTTCCACAGGTAACATGAAGAGTGAATGAAACCACATGGGTTACAATTTTTTATATTGATTGTTTATTGGAATTTCTGGACCAGATGTTCCAATTTCGAGCAGTTTTTTCAACGCTTTAGTGTCCGTTGCCACTAGACATATGTTTTTTTTTATTTCTCGTACCCACCTTTTAGCAGTGACACGCAAATTTTAGTTATAAAATTCATGTGTCTGTCATCACAAAATTCTAAGCATCAAGCAGACTGCATAAAAATCAAATTAAACTGAGCCTATGGATGTAGAAGTCACTGCAGACCAGTCAAATACAATGTAGACTCTGTGAGTGTGGCTAGCAGCCCTGTTTATTTTAGTGTAACATCTTTATACATGGCACAGAATCAAAGCTACAGCTGCACAATTGACTTATTCAGGATTTCAAGAAATATGTCAATATGTGCTCTGTACTCATAAGACTTTTGCAAGTAACTATGAAACTGAATTAAACGGTTGTCCAAATTAGGCCTTCTACGGCAAAACGATCATTTCTTCCCCCCCGGCAAAAACCTGGTTGAATCCAATCAATTATTTGCTTGCATTTCTCTGCTAATATTCCCACAGTAAGATAGCAGACCTACATGTATATGTATGTAGGCCATGACTCTAATTCTTTGTCATGACTGCAAATACTGGTGTTAGCCCTGTCCGTTTTCATTTCCAGCCCATTTTATCTGGCAAACAGAAATCTGGATATTGCAGGCCAAGCCACCAGTAAAATATAGCCCTGACTGAGGTAGGAGTTGAGGTGCTTACTGAGTCAGCTCACATTGCAGGGTTTGATAACGCAACCGTCCAATAGTGATCCCAACAGATCCACAAGGTGGACGGTACGTTGTACGTGTAGCTGGGTCTTTGTGTGTTGTGCTGCCTCCATTGAGACTGTTGAATTCAGCAGGATTAGATTGCTTAATAGCATATTGATCTGTATTGGGATTTGGATCAACCAACCCCTGGCTTTTCTTGTTCGGACTGCTTTTGTCCAGCCTCAACGGTTTCTTTGGGAGCAGGTCAAATGATTCAGAATGCTGCCTGCTTGTTAGACACATAAATGCAGTTAGTGTGAACTGATTAGTGAACTGATAACACGCCATCACCAGTGTGTGCCTTGCAACAGACCAGTATTTTGTTGGATGGGCATAGGCCTACGGTGCAGCCTCCATCGGCGTTGGTCTCAACAAGCCAAGCTTGCAACTGCAACAGGTAGATAGATGGTGTTGTGCTACAACACTTTGTGTGGACGAACATGGAGCTCTAAGTTATTGAAAGATTGATTTTTGATGAGTGAATTTTTTTTACCTGGCATAGTTTAAGTTTCAGGTTTGCTTTTCCAAAAGCTGGACCAACACAAGGTCCACATGGGAATGACTGGTTGGTTCTAATTAGTTTTAATTTGATATTTAGTTTGTGGTTGATTTTCATCTGTCACAGTGTCTGTTATTCACAGGATCTCTGTGAGATTACGGATTGTACTTATTTTTTATTGGATCAAACCGAAAACCGAAGGATTTTTTTTCAAGGTTGATCCCCCTAATCTAGTTTTTTAGAGGTTAATCATTCTACTTTTTGCACTTTCTACAAATAAAAAGTGCAAGATTCACATAATCATGGTCACTTTAGAGAGAGCTCAAGTCTTGTCAGCTATGAAATGCCCTGAAAAGTTGTTGTCAGTATTACACCTGACATGTAATTGCTTCATAGTTTGTGGATTTCTCTTCGTTTCCTCCTCTCACCCCTTTAAAGATCAGAATTAATAAATGTACGCCTTTACAAACTGAGAGCTTAGGAGTTGATTAAAATGTTAAAGCAAATTCATGTGTTTAGCAAAAATCCACACAGTACCAAACACATAAAGTAAACATGTCTCTTTATATTTTAGGCTTGAATTTTTTTTTTTACTCATCAACATCGCTCTTTGTTTGACATGTTTGGTGTGCCCAGTAAATAATATGTGCCCCCCCTGTGCCTTGTCCCTTCATTGTAATCTGAAATGCATCATTTTATATTCTCGGTGAGCTGTGTAATGCAGTTAGCATGGAGGCTGTTGACAACCCCCCTCCGTTTCATTGAACACTTGCTAAGTTGTCCGCTTTAATTCACCGTTCGAAATTGCAAACGTTTGACCTTGTCACACTGAGGAGTAAGATTGGGTTGTTTTTTTTTTCTTTCAAAGAATCTGATTGGTGCTTTCCCCGTGTTTGTTCCTGTTTTGCTCATTACAGCAGTTTGCATACAGCATGTCATTCTTTACTGGTTTGAGATTAAAAAGCTCCGCAGTGTGTATCACATCTTTGACATTCATAGTATCTTGCTGTCTTCCCTGTTGTGGAAACTGTCTTTGTGTTTCAAGCCTTCCCAGGATGCATGTACAGTCTTTGTCTGTAGGGAAACAAGCTGGTTACACGCATGATGCTTTGTGGAGGCTGCACTGTAATAACACAGAGTGTGTTTAGTCTATATTCAATCTCTCAGGGAAACACTCTCAAGAAGAGTTTTATGTCAGTGAAGTAATTTTTCTATCTTTTTACGTTTTCCGTTCTTTCAGGCGGTCAAGTTCGGCTCTGCTGCATCACAAAAGGTGAGACATCATTTCCTGTGTTTTGTATGGCTCTTTTGCCTTGTTTGCTAGTTGTAGTAATTTGGGTACATGTACAACTGACAATGACTGACGTTGCAGCTGTTCCAGGATCCTTTTTATATATTTGTGGTGGAACGAAAGTAACCAACATCCTGGAATGCACCACTCTCAAATTAAAATGTTAAGATATTTCTTTCTTTGTTCCCCAGTTTTGGCTGTTTTGTATTATTTTGTGTTAATTTCTCAGTTTCCTGACGACAGCCAAAACATACTTCCAAAACGTTGATTACCAGCGGTTCTTTTTAGAACCCCACATGCTCAAAAAGAGATATATCCCTGGCTGCAAACCTATCTCATTTATTTCTTTTGTTTTTGTTTGTTTCTGTTTTGTTTTGTTTAGATTTTAGCCGGTTTCATTTTGTTACTTTTTTGTTTCGTTCTGTTTGGATTTTTGTGTTTTTGTTTTTTTCTTGAGAGTTTTGGATGTACGTTGACAAAATAAATTTGGTAGTTTCGTTGAGGAGGAAATGCACTTGAACGAACGTCACATGTGGGATGGTGGTAATTATACTAGTACAAGTATGCTGTTCACGTACATGTACATGTATCATCCTCATTGTGATTGAAGCTGACACTTTCTAATACGGCATTCATTCCCATCGACATGATCAATGTAATAGCACCTTCAGAACATTCTGTTAGACTGGCACACAGGCATCACACTGCATTATTGAGAAGGGGTATAAATTAATTTTGCCTCAGGTCAGGTGTCCAAAACTGGCGGTGAATCGTTGAAAATGATCTTCAGAATAGAAGAAAAACAGTATTTCAAAATCATGCTGCTGTGTACCACATTGTGTGTTGTAGAATTGCACTTTTATAAGAATTGTTGCATGTAAATGTAATGCTTGCCTTTTTCAATTAAGTGGTATTCACGGAAATAGTTCCGTATCCAAATGTCACTTGACACCCTGTGCACAAACCCTTTGAGACTGGCCTGAAAAATTCGAAGTGTTTTCCAAGTCGTGCTTCAATATTTTCATTTCTGCGCTAAATTTACCTTAGGACATGTTATCACTTTCTGATGGCTAATTACCGGTAACTACAGCAAGTAAATATTACTCATGTCTGTGTATGGAACTCTTACCCTTTTTCTCTGTCTGTGTTTTATATTCCTTGTCAGCGCTTCTGTAATTTTTCTTTTTCACTTCAAAACCAAATCAGCCCGATCAACGAAACTGATCCAGCAATTGGCTGTAAGCATTTTCTCAACTAAAACATGAGCCTTTGTCAGCAAAAAACGGGTCACTTGCCTGACCTGATCGATTATCGGTCTGTGACCCAGTGGACAACAGAAACCTTTTATCAGTGTAATACGCCCAATAGCCCTTGTCAACCCGAATTTAGCCTTAGATTTCAACCCAATAAAAACTGCAGTTAGGATGGACCAGAGTCAAACTAGCATAGCAGCACATAAATGCATGAATGCACTGAAAACTAATGGTCGGAAATAATCCTTTCACTGTTAAAAGTTGTGTTGTGTTCTTTGTAATAAACTTTACCTCTAGTGAATTCCAGATCAATGCCAACATGTGAAGATGGCTGATATATTTTTTCTAGACTGTACATGTGCATGCCAAGTTTTTTTCCTCTGAGCATTACAAAGTGTCTTTTTTCCTTGGGTCTTCAAAAGCAAGCTTGTTCCATTTGCATCTGAGTCCAGACAGGCTAACCCACAGATGAATAGAGGTGAAATCAGCCATCAGTGCATCTGTGGAATGTTGAAATTATTCATTCAGTGAATTCATGTCAAAATATTGATTGATTAGAGGCACAACCAGAATAGCCTCCAATAGGAAGTTGACAGGTTCAAGGCCAAGTTTGCTTGGATAATATTTCAACCCGACAGATTCGATCTAGAATTCTTCCAATTTATTTTTCGTAGGCATTTGTGGGGTTGAAAATTGACAACTTGTACTGTAAGCATAGAGTAAATGCACATGGACAGTATGTCCAAACAGCAAACTACATGTACTCAACCCATTGTCAGCATTTGTTTAAATTGCATTAAGCCTTTAGCTTCGACTGGTGAATCACTGAAATTTTGACACAGGTGTTTGGGATTCAAATCCGTGACAAGGCTGACTTCTGTAAACTCTGTAGGTCTTGGCCTTAATTTACATGTATGTCTGGCTGGTTACCATAGCATCAGGCCAAAACATTCAATTGTCCCCTGGCGAATGCTACATGTAGGTTGAAAAGAACTTCAATTGATCAACAAAACCTCCTTTGCAAATGTCTCATTCTGAATTCTTACATTATGAAAAACAGTCAGATGCACCTGTTACGTTGCAATACGTGTCATGAGTTCTTCCAAAATCAACAATTTATAAACAGATAAACAAATTTTGCTTAATATAAAAAAATTTCGACAAGGATTTGTTGCTGCAAAAGCTTGGTTTAAATGCAAGTTACAGGTGCACATACATGTACATGTACAGTACATAAATTTGAATATTGAATAAAAGATTCAAAATGTAGACACAAATTATAACAATTGTACATGTAGATGTTAATGAACCTGTTCCCTTGTGTACAAAAACTCGCACTCCAAATCCCAACGTCTAAATAATGAGAATCCAGTAAAATTGCTGTCATTCTTTCATGGAGTCCGCTGATTATCCTCTATGCAGTAGATCTTTTTTTTGATCATACACTTTAAAAATTTCCAATTTATTCCAAGGTAAAGGTGCAGTGATTGTGAGATATGTTGAAGGCATCTCTGATATTGTTGTAATTGATTGGAAAATAGACGTAGACCTGTTCTCTGTGATTGGAATTTGCTTGCATTGATATGGTAGACATGTCATCAGACGCTGACAATATTTGGGTGTTTGTTTGTTATTGCCTGAACAGGTGAGTCATCTGTGTGCAGGTTGTTATTAAAGGAGCAAGGGGATAACATAATTTGCTTTTGGTCTTTAGATTCTACAGAGATTTTACACAAATATTATATTTCTTGGATCCTTGTTCCACTCATTTACTGTATAGCTTTGTGTTGACTGTTGGAAGGATTCAAGCCTGTGCTTTGGGCGAGTTTTTCTTCTTTTTTTTCCCTCTTCCATTTTTTCATGTTGAGTCTCCTGTAGTGATGCATTAACCATTTTTGGTCTCTGAGAGGTCATGCATGATTGGCCTTTGATTAAAAAGTGATGAGTGTAGAATATTCCTATTATAGCTATTAATCTATGCTGTTCAAACAACTCTCATGACAAACTCAATTGGTTGATAATCGTATGCTTATTTATTCATTAAATAAGATGTTTATGTTTGTTGAAGTCACACTTCATTTGGTGTTAATTACTCTCCTGTTTGGCTCATATCCAGAGAAATCTCTACAGGGAGCCGTTCTCAAAGCCTTGGTCTCAGTACCTTTGAACAACATCCTTACAGATGTTCATTTTTATTTAATGCAGTTGCCAAGTGCGAGTGAAGATCGGTAGACATGTAATAATGTATAACATATGATTCAGAGATTACAACTCCTACATACCCTATTCCCCCAGTTTGTCATTGACAATCTGTTTTTAGTTTTCGTATGATTTTGATGTTTGTAATTTGGATATGCTTTAATTTGTTCCAGACTCAAGAGTATGCTGCAAAAGTAAATGAAGCTGTGGTCAAACCCACCAAAGAAAAGATGCAAGACGGACGACTACTGAATGACATCTCCACAGGGACAAAGAGCTTTGCTTCCAAGGTGGGTAGAGGGGATATAGGGATGAAGATAGGGATGTGGGGGAGCGTAGGGAGATGTGCAGAGAGAGTGTTTAGAGGGGTGTAGAGAGGGTGTAAGGAGGGGTGTACAGGAAGGGGGAGTATAAAGGAATGGGAGGAGTACCAGTC